GCCCCATGTCACCCAGTTCAAGGACACCTACTTTGTCACGGGCATCATCAGTTGGGGAGAAGGATGTGCGCGGAAGGGAAAGTTCGGGGTCTACACCAAAGTCACCAACTTCCTCAAGTGGATCGAGAGGTCCATGAAAGCCAAGGCCAGGCCCCAGGGTGAGCTAGGGGTCACTGCCACGCCCATGTCATTAGATTGATCCTCCCCCCCCCCCCCCCCCCCGCCACCCCTCAGCAACATCCTTGGCGCAGCCATTGGTGTCTCCTTGTGTCTTAACACGTGCCACTCTGAACAGGCTGAATCCTGGAATACGTTTCCTCTCTGCGGTGATTGTGTCGGTTCCTGAGCCTGGCCTTGCCCTTGCTCGAGGGAAGTGGGAAATGAAATTGTCCTTTGGAACACTAGGTCCCGCCTTCCCCTTGCCTGGTTGGAAGATTCCTCCTGGAAATGTCACACTTTATAGAACAGGGGTTCACACTCCCCAGATGGCTCTTCCCCCCAAAATTGTGGGGGGCCCTTTCTAGTCATAGCACGTTTTTCTGTTTCTGATTGTCCTAAGCTGCCCTCACACAGAACCCTTGAGTATAAAGGACCAAGGTTCTGGGCGCAGAGACAAGGCCCAGGAAGGGTGGCCGCACCCTGGGGTCGGGGTGGGGTTCTCCATCAGGTCCGGCATCGCCCTCCAGGCCTGAGGTTCACCCGGGACAGAGACGGGGGTGGGAGTGGGTCCCCCAGGGGCCTCCTGTGAAAGGCAGACTCCCTGGGAAGCGAAGGCCCAGAGAGCTGCTCATTGGGGGGCATTTTAATATTGACTCCACCACTGGTTCTTCTCTCTGGCTTCATGCTAGAATCACCTGGGGTGCTCACCGTGTGTGTGCTTTTAAAAATATATATTTTATTGATTTTTTACAGAGGAAGGGAGAGGGATAGAGAGTTAGAAACATCAATGAGAGAGAAACATCAACCAGCTGCCTCCTGCACACCCCCCACTGGGGATGTGCCCGCAACCAAGGTACATGCCCTTGACCAGAATCGAACCTGAGACCCTTCAGTGCGCAGGCCGATGCTCTATCCACTGAGCCAAACCGGTTTCGGCGTTGTGTGTGTTTTTAATCCTCACCTGAGGATGTTTGTTTTTATGGGTTATTAGAGAGAGAGAAAGGAACACCTGGGACCCTTTAAGAATTGCCCACGCTTGGGTACACCTTGGTGTAGTCGCCTGAGCAGCTTACGTGTTCACTAGGCACTAACTGCCCCCAGACCAGGGGCCTCTGCAGTCCTTCATGCAGGCCTCAGCCCAGAGCACCTGAGTCAGAGTCTGTGGGTGACCACCACGTGTGCAATGCGTGTTGGTCGTGTCATGTCTAAATGCCAAGACCTTTCCCATCCAAGCCCTGGCCCTCCGCGCAGAGGGTAATGAAAGTCAAACATGCTTTTAGAAAACGGAAAAAGGTCACTGTAGACCAGACCAGTGTGTTCCAGATGTCCCTCTGGAGTTTGCGTTTTGCGTAACTTTGCTGAGCAAACGTTCAAAAACTCCCCAGAATGTCAGTAGCTTTGTGTGTGTGTGTGTGTGTGTGTGTGTAAACAGGAGATACTGCAAGGTTAGGGTTTATGGTAAACAGGAGACCTTGCAAGCCCAGGAACATCAATGTGGACAAGCCTGCCGTTTCCCAGAAACCGTCTGAGGGCAGGAAAAGCCGAGCAAAGGTGGCTCAGAGGGAGCCTCCGCCCAGAGGGCTCGTCAGGCGCCTCCTGGAGACAAGGCCTCCGATGGCAGGAGACCACCGCGTGGTCAGGTGGAGGGTTTTCCATGCAGCCAACCAGTCTCTGTCCTGAAGCTCACCCCAGACCTCGGTTCCTGTTTCTGGAGATCAAAGGTCCTTTGGGGTCCAGAGGGAACTCCAGGGAAATTCACAAAATAAAGCCTGCCTTTGCTGTTACTACTTGATCTCTCACGGTTGGCCATTATTATTGGCACTAGAGTTCATGTATGTATCAGAGAGGAAGGGAAACTGAGGCACAGCAGAGAGAAGGGCAGGAGGAGCCCACAGGTCTGCTTATCTTCCCATCCAGAAACGGGATTCAGGACAGTGAGGTGCTAGAGGAAAGGGGGAGTGGTGCCCTTGGCTGCCATAGGGAGGGTCTTGGTGTAGGGCTCCCAGGTGGGGCAACTGCTGTTTGCCCTGGAACAACCTAACTCTGTCTCTGAGCACCACTGTCCTCACTGGAAAACGGAACACATGAAGCCACTCACGGACGCGGTTACCCGCACACGGGCCACGGCGCGTGTGGGAGGGACACCCCTTACCTGCTGCCCCCCGAGCTCCCCCAGGGAGGTTACCTAAGGGGCTGCTGGCGTCGGGGGTGAGGCCCGGCACACAGAGACCAGCAGGAAGCCGAGGCTGAGGGCCCAGAGCGGGGACAGAGTGAAAATCTGCTGTTTTCCTCCTGAGAATGGGAGAGGCTGCAGCACTCGAACAAAACCACTTCTCCCCAGGCCCTGCCACACCCCACACACATGCCAGTTCCTGAGGGTAGAACAGTGACGGTGACGACCGGGGACTGCTCCGCCAGAACCAGGGAGGGGGTTCTGGGCGGTGATGGGAGGTTTGAAGGGACAAGGAGGCCCAGCTGAGCATGAGTTAGGAGGCAAGGGGAGAGTGTAAGCCAGCTGCATGGGGGGGAGCGGGGGGCGCGGGAAGGATAAAGGAGGGGGTACAACACTGCAGCTTCCAAGCCAGTGGAAGGTTCTCAAGAACACAGGTTCCTGCCCACTGGCAGGGCCTGCTGGATCCCTGGGGAGTCTGTGGGGCTGAGGCCTTCCAGCGGGATGAGGGGGAGGGGAGTGTGTAGGGGGGGGAAAGGGGGTGGAGGGGGGTGGCTGTTCTCCATCCCCATTAGCATGGAGGGTCTCAATTTCCATTTCAGCAGGTCCCTGCTGCTACGGCTACCACGGGAATCACTGCTCAAGCAAGCCCTCAGGACCCCAAAACCCTGGCGGACAAATTGCTGAGAAGGAAGATGCTTGGTCTCAGAGCACCACCCCAGAAGTGACTGTATAATTGCAGGCAGGACAGGGTAGCTTTATAACAGCGAGATCTGCTGGGCATATAGCCAGGTGTGTCCGACATCAGGCGTGCCCCACAGCACAGTGGGAAGGACACACACACACACACACACACACAAACACACACACACACACACACACACAAACACACACACGTCTCTGCTGCAGGGCTCGCCCCGAGTCACTGTGAGGGGGTCAGTCGGGCAAGTCCAGCTGGCGAGGGCCTGGACACTCCAAAAATGCCAGCATCTAAAGCCCAAACAGGAGGGGGGACTGCAGTAATTGAGACTTGGGAGGACAGGAACAGGCTGCAGGGAGAGAGAAGGACGGCCAAAGGAGTTCCTCAACCGATGCCCCCTTCACAGAAAGGTTCCCCTGTATATGGGGGTGCCGGGGAGAGGAGGGACGGAGAGAGAGGTAAGACAGATACAGAGACAGACAGAGAGTTAGGGGGACAGACAGAGTGAGCCTCCGCTGGGGTCCCTCCCTGTGCTGACCCACTTGGTGAGCGTGTGACAGGAAACAGTAGAGGGTGGGTGTGAGCGCCCCTCTCCACGGAGTATTACATGGCCCCACGGGGCGGGGTGATTCTCGGTTCAAAGGCACACGTGGCTCTTACCAAACGGCCCCGGGTCCACTCTTCCATGTGGCACTCTGTGTCCCGGGAGCCCTGGCTGGGCTGGCCTCCTGCTATGGTGGACTCTAGCCCTTTGCAGAGAGGCTGCTGACCCCGGCCCACCCACCAGTCCTCTGCTGCCCTCCTGTGGGCGCCCTCCCCCTCCGGCCTCCTTGCTGGGCTCCAGGCAGCAGCAGCCCTACCTCAGGCCCTGGAGTGTCTCTCTCAGTCACACACACACACACACACACACACACACACACACACACACACACGAGGCTCCCGGTGTTCCGATTCCTCTCCCAAAGGGAGCCTCTGTGGCTGGCTTGTCTGCAATAGCTCCCATGTGGCTCTGTACCCGCTGACCTGCTCTTCTCTTCCTGGTAGAAACGTGACCCTATTTCTCCCTCCCTCTCTCCCCCTCCCCCACACTAGGACGTGGGCTCCAGGCCCAGGCCCAGGACACGTGTGCAACGATGGCCCTGGCTTTTCCCAGGGCCACCATCACCCCATCTCCTTGGACAGGACCTCCTGGCTTTGCCCCCAACAAGTCCATCCAGCTCTGGCGCCTAAATTCCTCACCAAGGCCCCCTTGGCTTTGGCTTTTCCTTTCTCTGCCTCACACCCTCCACACCTCCCTCTGCCTTGAACAGGAAAATACAAAATGGAAGCATGCATTTAAAACGTTGAATGAAACCAGAGAGCGTTGGACCTGCATCACCACCATTTGCCACCATCCAGAACGGAAATACCATTGCTGACATGTACACATAAGGAACTGTTTGACATGGAAATTGGGTCTCAAAAGAACTGGTGGCCCAGAAAGAAGCTCAATGCAGACTGATTCATATGCCTTTCAGCATAACGATTATTACTTGTCTCATTTTTTATTCTTATATTTCCAGTAGGACATGATCTCACTCATCTAGGGGAAATGGTGAACAACATAGACTGATGGACAAGAACAGACCCAGAGATAAGGAGCCATGGGTCAGACTGTTGGACCTCAGAGGGAGGATGGGGATAAAAGGGAGAGATCAACCAAAGGACTTATGTGCACACATATGAGCCTAACAAGTGATCAAGGACAATAGGGAGGTGGGGGCATGAGTGGGGGGGCGGGGGGGGGGCGGGAATGGAATGGAGGGTTGAGGACAAATATATGATACCTTAATCAATAAAGAAATTAATAAAAATTTTAAAAAAATATTGAATGAGTCCAATAAAATTCCAGGCAAAATGTCCTCATAGCGGAAGACACTCCTTTCCCCGTTTTCTGCTTCTGTCCCCTACGTTTCAGGGCTGGTGGTCGTTGAGGCGAGCAGCCTTCCTGCGCTGTGAGTGGCCCGGCCGGGCGGGCGGACTTTGGCCCCTGTGTTTGCAGACCTGTCCCTGGGCTGCGGTCAGAATGGCGGGCTGCGTCCGGCTGCTCCTGCTCCTCCTGGGCCTCCACATTGCCGAGCCCGCAGGTGGGTGTCGCCCTCCTAACTGTGTGCCTCCTGGACAGTGTGGGCTTGGTCAGGGGGCTTTTCCTGGGGCAGAGGAGCCCCTGGGTGGCCAGCGGGTCTGCACTCAGCTCCCAGAAGAGCTTCCTGATCTTATTATAATTCATGACCAATGAGTTGGAAGTGATGGGGCCCCTGGGGATCCTCAGAAGAGATGCCAGAGAGAATCAGGAAGTGGGAGCCCGTCTGATGGGGACAGGAGAGGGGGCAGCAGGCCTTCAGCTGTGGCAGCGCCATGTACTCTGACTCCCAGGCAGCGGGCATCGCAATCCTCGGGGAAGCCCATCAATGCTGACGGCACCTCCCTTCTCCTCTTGCTCCGCAGTATTTCTTTCTGCCTCAAAAGCAAATGAAGTTCTGGTAAGATGGAAGCGGGCTGGCTCCTATCTTCTGGAAGAGATCTTTGAGGGACATTTGGAAAAAGAATGTTATGAAGAAATCTGTGTCTATGAAGAAGCAAGAGAAGTATTTGAAGATGACGAGGCCGCTGTATGTACCCCCACCGTGAACTCACACACTTTCTGATTATTCCAATTTCTGTTGCCTGGGAGGGCATACTTTCTCAAAAAGGCGAAGCTAAGTTAATAACCTGTTTACTTACCTGTGAGGCTGACTTAATCCTAATGTTACGGAGGAGGAAACAGAGACAGAGAAATGAAATAATTTTCCCATCTAGTATGTAGGGGACCCGGATACCGGTACTAACTCAGTTCTAACCCTTAAACTCCTTCTTCTAACTAAACACATTAGCACATTGATTAACTTACTCATCACAAACAGTCAGCTTGTCATGACGCTGACAGAATTTGATATTTTTAATAGAGACCTAGTTGCTTCAATATATCAACAGATTTTTAAGGAACAAAAAGCCTCTCTAGAGTGCCTATATAGTAAAAATATCTCTCATAATCTATCATTTGGGTTAAAACTGATACTCTAAATAATATAAGCAAACAATTCTTGCTTATTCATAAACTTATCAGAAGATAAAGAAGTCAAATCTGACAGATATATGTAAAATATTTAATAAAGATCTCCTAGTTTTACATATAACAGTAGCAATATTTAAAGTTATTCTGAATAAAATATCGACCTGTTTCCCTAGTATATTTTTAAAATCATTGTTTTTTTTTTTTTTAAATATTTTATTGATTTTGTACAGAGAGGAAGGGAGAGAGATAGAGAGTTAGAAACATCGATGAGAGAGAGTCATCGATCAGCTGCCTCTTGCACACCCCCTACTGGGGATATGCCCACAACCAACGTACTTGCCCTTGACCGGAATCGAACCCGGGACCCTTCAGTCCCCAAGCCAACGCTCTATCCATTGAGCCAAACCGGTTTCGGCTAAAATCATTGTTTCTTGCATGCTTATCTATGTCCCCTTAATTTTACATCATTCAGGTTGTTACAAGTCCAAGAATGATTGGGAGATGGCAACCACTTGTTTACATTCTAGGCTTCCGTTCCTAGTAATTATCCTAATTTTAGATACCCTAATTTTATATATGAGAGAACGCTTCTGAAATAGACCATCTTTTCTAAAACTGGGATAAATTAAAACTTCTTGGTAAGAGCAAAATTGTGGGGTTTTCTTATTTTCAATTACAGTTGACATTCACTATTACTTTATATTAGTTTCAGATTAACAGCCTAATGGTTAGACACATATAATTTAGGGAGTGTTCCTCCAATAAATCTAGTACCCATCTAACACCCTACAAAATTATTACAATGTTATTATTATTGACTATATTCCCTATGCTGTAATTTACATCCTCATGACTACTCTGAAACTACCCATTTGTACATTTTTAAAAATTTCTCATTCAAGGATATGTTTTTATTGGTTTGAGAGAGAGAGGAAGGGATTGAGAGAGAAAGAGAGAGAAGTGAGAGAGAAATATTGATTGGTTGCCTCCTTCTCACACCTCAACTGGGGATCGAACCCTCAACCTTTTGATGTATAGGATGACACTCCAACCAACTGAACCACTCAGCCAGTGTTATCCATTTGTACTTGTTATTTATTTCACCTTTTTCTTGCATCCCCCTCTCCCCTCTCCCACCTGGCAACTGTCAGTCCGTTCTCTGCATCTATGAGTCTGTTTCTGTTTTCTTTGTTCATTCATCTTGTTCTTTAGATTCCACACATAAGTGAATATGTCTTTTATTCAAAAGACATATGGTATTTGTCTTTCTCTGTCTAGCTTATCACTTAGCAAAATACCCTCTAGGTCCATCCAGAAAATTGTCCTCTTAATTTGACATCATTCAGATTGTTACAAGTCCAAGTATGATTGGGAGATGGCTACCACTTGTTTACATTCTAGGCTTTAATTCTGAGTAATTATCCTAATTTTAGATACCCCCACCCAAATTAACCTTACACATACACATACCTACTTTTGGTGGTTGTTTCATTGGTTTATAAAAAAAAAAAAAAAAAAAAAGTGGTGTTAGTTTTTGTATCTACATCATGCATTCTGTAGACTAGAACATGAATGAAAACGATGCCCCTGGAGGAGGAGGTGACCTTGGGAGGCCATGGTCATGGTGTTTGTACCACATCACAGACTATTATTTCTCCTTCCTTAAATAGGTTACAGTAAGTACACATGAAATAGGATACGTTCCATGTATATTAGATAAAACATTAAATAGATAATTTTGCATTCTCTGTTTCAACCAGAATTTTTCTATTAAGTGGATAAAATCAACATGTGTTATCTTTAAGCCAATTGATGAGAGAAAATATTTTTAAAAATCATCTATTTGCAACCCTTTTATATTTTAACTTTACAGGATGAGTTTTGGAAACGTTATATGGGTAAGTAGCCTCAACTCTTGCAAGGGTTATTTCTTCTTTTTCCTTAAGATGAGGTAAGGCATTCCACATTTCAAACTTAGGTACCTGGACACTCCCTGAGGAGAAGGGTGGGAAAGTTCCCAAGGTCCTGGGGGTTGGGGAGAAGCCAGAGGGTCCCCATCCTGAACTGCTCCTCTCATTCCTGGGGCCTCACAGGCTCCTGGGGCCTCTTGCTGAAGGGTCAGAACCTGGTGAAGTTGAGGAAAGTGACAGCTCACCGCAGGCTTGGGGATGCTGGGTGCCCCTTTAGGAGGAGCTCCCAGAAGACCTCGGTGACTGAGGGCCACAGGGATGGGCGAGGGGAATTAGAAGAGCTGGGGCAGCCAGCGACAGCCACTGGTCACCATAGTCACTCAGCAAAGAAAGGAGGTGAAGGAGGGGAACTTAGACAAACATCGTGGGCACACGTGGCTGGTGGGACCCCAGGGGACACAAGAGAGCTCCTGGCAGCCTAATCCAGCCTCCTGGCATCCTGGGCAGCAGGGCCAGGGGGCATCAGGAGAACTGGATGATTCCACCTGCACAACGTTCTCACATCCCTCTTGGCAGGTGGCACCCCATGTGTCTCCCAGCCCTGCCTCAACAATGGGTCCTGTCAGAACAACATCCGCAGCTACACCTGCACTTGCTCCGAGGGCTACGAGGGCAAGGACTGTGCCTTTGGTGAGTCCCCAGCCCCTGGATCCACCCCAACCGTACAGAGATGGGCTCCCAGGAGTGAGCAAAGGGTGCCTGTGGGAACCTAGTTCTGACCCAGTTCTCCACTGGAAATAATCCTGTGAATGGCCCTCCTGCCTTCCAAACACGTCTCCCTACAGTTCCCACGGCTTAGAGTCCTCTCCTGGTCCCCCCAAACCCAGCCTTGCCTAACCCATTTACAATCTACTCTCCAGAATCCCTGGAACCTGACCCACCCCAAGCAGGGTGATGGGATCTGGAGGGCCCCTCTGTAAGGGGGAGTCACACACAGGCTGGCCCAGAGGTAGGCATGGGTGTGAGATTTACAGCTTCATGAACTAATATTTCTTGTGGGAATGGGGAGAAATTAATTTCCTATCAATAATTATCAGATATGAAAATAAATTCACTTAATGTTTTTCAATGCCTCTGGTCAATACAGAGTCAGTTCTCTGGGGAAAAATATTATTCCCAGCCCAGATCTCTCCTCTGAAGTTCATCTTCTTCCTCTAACTGCCACCTTGAGAGCCCCATGTAGTTTCACAGACATACCAAACCTAACACATGCCAAAGCAAGATTCTGATCCTCATCCCAGCTGCTCAACCACCCACATGGGATCCCACTAGATCCCTCCCATTTCACATCCCCACCTGTAGCAGGAAGTGAAAGTTGGGAAAATGGGCAGGTACCTTGCAGTATGTATACATATATCCATGACCAAGTTACATTTTCTGAGGACAGATACAAGGCTTGTCACTCACTGAGCCTTTGAGTTCTCCATGCACATTCCTGAAGACATGGGAAGTGTGGGAAGTGCTCCTATGGGGAACCAAACATCTGAAAATAATGCGAACATTTGGACTGAAAAGCCAGAGCCCCAAGACTCACAGAAATTTAAAAACGACTATTCCCATGTTAGCACTTCTGGTCTCCCCTTTATTTCCTTTCAGCTAAAAATGAATGTCACGCATTGAGGACGGATGGGTGTCAACACTTCTGCCACCCCGGACAGGACTCCTACATTTGCAGCTGTGCACAGGGGTACAAACTGGGCCAAGACTACAAATCATGCATCCCACATGGTGAGTTCTCAACCAGTGAGAAGTGAGAAAAGGTGGTCTCTCCCTTTCCTATCCTGTTGGCTCCCATACACACCCCCACTCCTCCTACAATAACGTTTGAAAAACCACCTCTTTTCCATGAGATGAAGAGTCACTATGATGCAACCAGCCCTCCCTACCTCCATGCTGAAGCTTGCCTGGGTCCTAGGAGTATCTTAGCTAACCTGCAAACACGGAGAGCAGGTGATTTAACTTCACCTGTGGCCCCATGAGTTATCCTATATAATAAAAGCCTAATATGCTAAGTCCGGTCATCCAGTCATCCATTCAACCAATCAAAGCATAATATGCTAATAATATGCTAAGGCCACTGAGCTGCTCGCTATAATGCGCACTGACCACCAGGGAGCAGACATTCCAACTGCTAGGTTAGCTTGCTGCTGGGGTCCAGTAGATTGGGACAGAGCAAGACAAGCTGGACAGGACCTGGATCCCTCCCCGGCTGGCCAACCTCCATGTCCCTCTGCAGCCCAGATCATGGGTGGGTGGGTGGGTGGGAGGCAATCAACCAAAGACCATCCTATATAATAAAAGGCTAATATGCAAATTGACCGAGTGACAGAATGACTGGTCACTATGACGCCAACACAGGAGCTGCCCCCTGGTGGTCAGTGCACTCCCACAGGAGGAGTATCGCTCAGCCAGAAGCCCAGCTCATGGCTAGCAAGAGCAGCTGCAGTGGCAGGAGCCTCTCCCACCTCCGCAGCAGTGCTAAGGATGTCCGACTGACGGCTTAAGCCTGCTCCTGAGGGACCCCCCGAGTCATGAATTTCATGCACTGGGCCTCTAGTCTCAAAATAATGGGCATGGAGAAGCCACATTCAAGTAGTGAACACCATTTGATTAGATAAAACCGATCGATGTTTGACTTGGAAGGCACTGATCTTTCTTATGTTGTCACCATGAACGAAGACAAGTGTGCGTGTGGAATCCTGAATTCCGAGGGCATCAAGGCAACACAGAGGAGCAGGCGGAATCCTCAGATTTTCCCGTGGCAGGTAACAGAAACATTTCGTAAACATGTTTTCATTTTTAGTTACAGGTTTCATCCTACTTGTCATTTCCATGGTCTTTGGCAACCAAACGGAAATATAATGACTAAGGGAAAGAGGCATTTGTGATTTAAGTGAACCATTAACTTATCTCAAAGTCCTACTTCAGAGCACTTTCTAATGCCGAATTCACAACTTCAGGGGTCTTCATTCTTTCATCAAATAAAAAGTTTTATTTGTAGCCATCCTGGCCCAATGTCATTGCTCTCAGACCATAGGTATTTTAACCAGCATTTCATTCTTTTCTTGTTTTATTAATTCCATAAAATAAGCATTACTTTTATTACTATGGCTATTCCACCAATGTGGATTTTAATTTACATATGCTTGCCATTTTTCTTGCTTCTAATGCAGTTCATCTCCTTTTGTTTGTACACCTTTTTTTTTAAATGTACGCCTTTTTGTGTGTGTTTTTTGTTGTTGTTGTTGTTAATCTTCACCAGAGGATATTTTTCCATTGATTTTTAGAGATAGTGGAAGGGAGGAGGGGAGAGGGGGGAAAAGAGAAACATCAATGTGAGAGACACATCAATTGGTTGCCTTCTGCAACACCCCAAACAGGATCTGGCCTGCAACCCAGGTTCATGTCCTTGACCAGGAATTGAACCTGGGACTCTTCAGTCCATGGGCCAACACTCTAACCACTGAGTTACACCAGGTAGGCCCTGAAGTACACCCTTTAGGACAGCCCTGTCAATAGAAATATAATGTAAGCTGCATATATAACTGAAATTTCCTAGTCACACTAATGAAAGTAAAGCAGATCAAATGAATTTGGATAATGAATTTTATTTACCAGTACTCTAAACTGTCTAAATACTATGTCTTTGGGGCCTATATTCTTTGTTTCTTTTTAAACATATTTTTGATTTCTGAGAGGGAGAATTAGAAACATCAGTGATAAGAGAGAATCATTGCTCGTCTACCTCTTGCATGCTCCCGACTGAGGATTGAGCCCACAACCAGGGCATGTGTCCTTGACCAGAATTGAACCCAAGACCCTTGAGTCTATAGGCCAATGCTCTAGCCCACATGTGTCAAACACAAGGCCCGCGGGCCAAATCCGTCCCGCCAGGCCTTGCAATGTGGCCCGCACCGCGCTGTCATCACTGCACTCCGCTGCGTTTCCATCACAATGACAGTTTATGACTGTTCAGTAAACCATTCGGCCCACGATTTAGGCTGGATTTTAGATTTTGGCCCCTTCTCTGATTGAGTTCGACACCCCTACTCTAGCCAAAGAGCCAAATTGGCTAGGGTTGGAGCCCATATTCTTAACCAGCATACTATATTGCCCCTAATCCTGCTAATTGTCTGTCTTGTTTTTCTTTTGTTTGTTTTTTAAGGTAAAACTAATAGATTCCGAAGGAAATGACTTCTGTGGTGGTGTTATAGTACAGGAAAATTTTGTGCTGACAACAGCAAAATGTTCACTGTTACACAGAAATATCAGTGTGAAAACAAGTAAGTATTCTAGCACTCATTTTTATAAGACCATGCTGGAAATAAACAGTATCCTATGTAGAATGAAAATTTAAAAACTAGAATTTTGTTTTTAATGCAATATAGAACCGAATTTAACTTCAATATGTCTGAGCTACTTATAAAGTGAGTAAGCATATGTATAAACCTAGTGGAGTGTCGAGGCATAGCAAGCAGACAAATACTAATATTCAGACTGAGGCAGTCACGGCTGATAAGAACATAATTTGATACTGAAATGGAGAGGGTGTGTTATATGACAGATACTTGACTAAAGGTCAGATCTGGGTTCAGACTCCCCTGTCACCCAAGGCCACAGCTGTGATGTGGAGCTCACCACCTAACTTGTCTGTGACTCATCAGTGAAAAAATGGGCAGTAACTTCTGTCCTGTAGGGAGGTCGCAGAGGGTCAGTGATCATCTGGGAAAGTGCTCTCTGATTCTAAAGATCCTTATCATATTTCACTCCTCATCTTTGAGTATTTTTCAGTCAACAAAATGTCAACCTGAAAAACCACTTCTGAACGGCCCAGTTTTGATTAGCTTGAAGAAGTTCCCCTAGTTTATTTACCACTTCACCAAAATAACTCCTTTTGACTTTTTGGAGGCGGAGTATGAGGAGGAATTAGTTGGAATACTTCATCCTATAGATGAAGAAAGATCAGCACAGATAGCCGCGGCATGTTTTACCGTGCCCAGCCTCTGCCTTGTCACAGGGTTCACTGAGAAGTTAGTTTCATATTATTGTAACCTGAAAACCAGACTTTACGTTACAAAAGCCAGTGATTGTCCATTATTTCAGATTTCCCTAGAACGAGCGAGGACCCGCTGACGATGGAGGTGAAGCGCGTCCACGTGCACATGATGTACGAGGAGGAGACGGGGGACAATGACATTTCGCTCTTGGAGCTGGAGCTGCCCATCCTGTGCCCCGACATGGGGCTCCCCGTCTGTGTGCCCGAGCAGGACTTTGCGGAGCGCATCCTCATTCCGGGGACACCGGGCCTCCTCGTTGGCTGGACATCCAATGGCTCCGAGCTGGGCAATGTGCCGATGCAGCTGCCCGTCACACACATGGACAGCGAGGAGTGCGGCAGAGCCCTGAATGTGACGGTCACGACGAGGACGTACTGCGAGAGGGGAGAGGCAGCCGGAGGGGTGCAGTGGGCGGAAGGGAGCGTGGTCGCCAGAAAACACAAAGGCACCTGGTTCCTGACAGGGATTCTGAGCTCGGTGCCCACAGAACAGTACGGACAGGAGTTTCTTCTCATCAAGGTTTTGAGATACTCGCTCTGGCTTAGACAAATTATGAAGTGACTAAACCCAGCTAAGCCTCAAGAATAAGAGATGCGGTGGGATTACACACCTTAACTGCAAGCATGGGCTTAAATTAAAATTTCACAGCAAAAACGGTCGTGACTGCCTCAGGACAACCCACTGGGTCTACAAACCATCAGTAACGGCTTATGACAGTGATTTTCAACTGGTAAGCTGCGAGAATTTTTAAAACATGCAATACCTGACTATTTTGGTCAGGGCCAAGGACCTCTTTTCCTTTAGACTATCAAATAAAAAAAATGTCAACAGCCAATGTAACAATAGCCGTCCAGTGTGAATGAATCAAAATTATTTTTATCAGACTGGCAAAACATATATTTTTTGGTGTACTGCAGAATTTTATTTAGTTTGTGTGTGCCATGAGATGAAAAAGGTTGAAAATTGCTGGCTCAGGAGCTCATTACTGAGTACTGTGAAAAGTCTTTTGCTTGGGACCTTTCATCTAAAGAGATTTTAAGAGAATGGGAGACCAGAGGGACCTCATAGTTGTGCCAGGTTTGCCAATTGCCCGTGTGAGTGAAAGGGTTGCTCAGTGTTGGAAGAAGACACTAGAAGAGTCAGCACAGGAGAAAATATCACAGAAGAATAGTTTATGGTTTTAGAGAAAGAATCAGGAAGCATGAGAGGTTAGAAGAAGACGGACCACATGGGGCCTTCAAATAGGGCCACGTGCTCAGAAAGGCACTTCCTGTGGAGGGAAACCTCCGGACGGGTTCCAGGGGGCTGCTGGATGAGGGCCGTGCTCAGCCTCTCCACTCTGCTTCTGAACCAGCTGGCGGACTCTCAGTTATGTAACCCCTTTGTGCCTCTCTCCTGGGCTCTAAATGAAACAATAAAAGCATCTTCCAACCAAAGCTGAGTGAACAGTGTTCAATCACAGTGATTATCTATTAGCATCACTGGAAAGACAGAACTCAAGTACAGTCACAAACCGTGCTTTTTTGCAGACCAGAACTCCACAGGGGGTCCACGTTTGTGCCAAAATGAAAAGTGAGAGCAATAGATAGAAATCATGTGTACTTTTAAATTAATCTCTTAACTCTTTTATAAGTTAAGGGAGTAGCAAAACTGCTCCTCCACTAAGTACATCTGATTTCCAGGCCCATTTCTTTGAGTGAAATGAAAGAGCTTCTGAGGCTAACTGCTCTGCAGACCAGCGGTGGAGAGAGCAGCTCTAACTCCAGACGCACATGCAGGGTGACAGTGGGCTGCTGAGGGCTCATTATACAGAGTTGTTGAAGAGCAGAGAGGATATTTTTAAGGAATTAAAAATGTGAGTTGAGAAATCAATGACAATAAAAACAATGAAAAAAATCAAACACTTGGAGGCTAAATAGCATACTATTAAACAATGATTGGGTTACCAAAAAGATCAAAGAAGAAATATAAAGCATCCTAGCAACAAACAACAATGAAAACACAAAAATCTAAAATCTAAGGGACACGGTGAAAGTAGTCTTGAAAGGGAAGTTCATAGCTCTACAGGCCTACCTAAAAAAAAAAAAATAATAATAATAATAATAATAAATTATCTAACCCTAAAACTCAAAGAATTAGAGAGCAACAAGAAACGCCCAGAGTGCCCTAGCCAGTTTGGCTCACTGGACAGAGCTTTGGCCTGGAGACTGAAGGGTCCCAGGTTCAATTCCGGTCAAGGACATGTACCTTGGTTGCAGGCACATCCCCAGTAAGGGGTGTGCAGGAGGCAGCTGATCAATGGTTCTCTCTCATTGATGTTTCTAACTTTCTATCCTTCTCCCTTCCTTTCTGTAAAAAATAAAAAAATACATATATTTTTAAAAAGCCCAGAAAAGGAAGGAAATAATAAAGATCAGAAAAGAAATAAATGACATTAAGACCAAAAAAAAAATACAAAAGATCAATAAAACCATTAGCTGGTTCTTTGAGAGGATAAACAAGATTGATGAACCTCTAGCCAGGCTCACCAAGAAGCAAAGAGAGAGGACCCAAATAAACAAAATCAAAATAAAAGAGGTGAAGTAACAACCAACCCCACAGAAATACAAAGGATTAGGAAAAATTACTATGAACAACTCTATTCCAATACACTGAACAACCTAGACAAAATGGACATATTTTTAGAAAAATACAAGCTTCCAAAACTCAATCAGGAAGAATAAAAAAATCTTACTAGGCAGATAACTACCGAAGAAATTGAAGCAGTAATCAAAAATCTTCCAGCCCTAGTCTGGGCTGCTGTATAGGGGAGTTCTACCAAGCATTCAAAGAAAACTAAAACCTATCCTCCTCAGACTATTCCAAAAAATTCACGAGGAAGGCACACTCTCCCTAATCCCAAAACCAGATAAAGACACCACAAAAAAAAAAAAAAAAAAAGAGAGAGAGAGAGAGAGAGAGAGAGAGAGAGAGAGAGAGAGAACGAACTACAGGCCAATATCCTTGATGAATATATATGCTAAAATCCTCAACAAAATTCTAGCAAATCAGATCCAGCATTACATTAGAAAGATCACACACCATGACCAAGTGGAATTTATTCCGGGATGCAAGGATGGTACAATAGCCAAAATCAATAAACGAGATATATCACATAAACAAACTGAGACAAAAATCACATAATCATACCAATCGATGCAAAAAAAGCATTTGACAAAATCCAACATCCTTTCTTGATAAAAACTCTCAGCAAAGTGGGAATAGCAGGATCATAAGTCAATATCATAAAAGCCTTACATGACAAACTTACAGCCAACATCGTATTCAATGGCCAAAAACTAAATTCATTACCCCTAAGAACAGGAACAAGACAGGGATGCTCACTTTCATCACCCCTGTTTGTACTGGAAGTGTTAGCCATAGTGATCAGACAAAAAGAAGAAATAAAAGGCATCCAAATTGGAAAATAAGAAGTAAAACTGTCCTTATTTGCAGATGAATGATAATGTATATAGAAAACTCTGAAGACTCCATCAAAAACACTACTAGACTTAATAAATGAATTTGGCAATGCAGGAGGATACAAAATCAATACCCAGAAATCTATGGCTTTTTTATAGACCAACTATAAATTCAAAGAAAGAGAAACTAAAAAAACAATCCCATTTACCATTGCACCAAAAAAATTAAGATATCTAGGAATAAACTTAACTAAGGACATAAAAGACCTGTACTTGGAAAACTATAGGACATTGAAAAGAGATAGAGGAAGACATAAATGGAAGAACATACTATGTTCACGGGTTGATAAGAGTCAATATCATTAAAATATCCATACTATCCAAAGCAACTAGATTTAATGCAATCCGCATTAAAATATCAATTCATAGAAAAGACCTTGAACAAACTCTTCAAAAATTCATCTGGAATAAAAAAAGCCCCAGCAATCCTGAGAAAGACCACCAAAGTTGGAGGGATAAAAATACCAGATAGTTCAAGCTATATTACAAAGCCATGATTCTCAAACCTGCCTGGTACTGGCATAAAAACAGACATATGGACCAAAGGAACAGAATCTAGAATCCAGAAATAGATCCAAGCCATTATGCTAAATTAATATTTGACAAAGGAGGCAAGAGCATACAATGGAGTCAAGACAGTCTCTTCAATAAATGGTGCTGGGAAATTGGTCAGATACATGCAAAAAAATGAAACTAGATTACCAACTTACCCCATACACAAAAACAAACTCAAAATGGTTAAAGGAATTAAATGTAAGACAGGCAACCATAAAAATCTTAGAAGACTCCATAGGTAGCAAAGTATCAGACATATGTTGTAGCATTATATTTACCAATACAGCCCCTAGGGCAATGGAAACTAAGGAGAAAATAAACAAATGGGACTACATCAAAATAAAAAGCTTCTGCACAGCAAAAAACAAACCAACAAAAAAGAAACAAAAACCATCAACAAAACAATAAGAAAGCCCACTGCATGGGATAACATATTTGCTAATGCAATTTCTGATAAGGGTTTAATCTCCAAAATTTACAGGGAACTCATATAACTTAACAAAAGGAAGATAAAAAAATCCAATAAAAAAATGGGCATTGGACCTAGATACTTTTTGAAAGAGGACATATAGAAGGCTGAGAAACATGAAAACGGGATCAAAGTCACTAATCATCCAAGAGATGCAAATCAAAACAACAATGAGGTACCATCTCACACCTGTCAGAATGGCTATCATCAAAAAATCAACAATCAATAAGGGCTAGGGAGAATGTGGTGAAAAGGGAACTGTTGTGCACTGCTGGTGGGAATGTAGACTGGTGCAGCCACTGTGGAAAAGAGTATTGAGTGTCCTCAAAAAGTTAAAAATGAAACTCTCACGTGACCCAGTAATCCCACTTCTAGGAATACATCCCAAGAAATCAGAAACACCAATAAGAAAAGATATATACACCCCTCTGTTCATAGCAGCACAATTTATAGTAGCCAAGATTTGGAAACAGCCTAAGTGCCTATCAGCAGATGAGTGGATTAAAAAACTGTTGTACATCTACACCATGGACTACTACACTGCTATAAAAAAGAAGGAACTTTTACCATTTGCAACAGCATGTATGAAACTGGAGAGCATTATGCTAAGCAAAATAAGCCAGTCAGAGAAAGATAAATATCACATGACCTCATTCATATCAATACATATATATAAAAGGCTAATATGCAAATTGTCCCCTTGTGAATTCGACTGGGAGACCAGGAGTTCAATGGCCCTCAGTGACATGTGCTAACCACCAGGGGGTGGCATGGAACTAAGGAAGGCCCAGCCAGCATCTGGCAGCCCGGAAAGAAGACCCCGACTGGCCCTGATTGCCAGCCAGGGGGACCCTATCTGGGCACGGATTTTGTGCACCAGGCCTCTAGTGTGGAATATAATGATCAACATAAATTGGATCCAGAGACAAGGTGGTACTGAGCAGACTGTCCAACCTCAGGGAGAAGGTAGGGGAGGGGGGTTAGAAATCAACCAAAGGATTTGTATGCATGCATATCAGCATGACCAATGGACACAGACACTGGGGCGGTGGGGGCTTGCCTTCGAGGGC